CAGCGCATGCGCGGAGCCACGCCCCCGTCCCCCGGGCAGCGCGGGGCGGGGGTGCCAGCGCGGCCGGCGTCTCGCCTTCCCGGAACCCTCCTTGGAGGCCGGTCCCTGAGGCCTTCGTGCCTTCAAGGGCCCGCCGGGCGACAGACTTAGCAGTGGCCGCCGGTGCTGACAACACGGTGGGAGGACTGAGGCCGAAGGCTGCACCCCGGGAGAGCGATTCCGCCGCGGAGGGCCGTGGGTGGGGCGGGCACTGGGGTCCAGGACCCCGGAGGAGGGTCAGGGTCAGGGTCAGGGAAGCAGAGCGGTGTGAGGCCCCCAGCGAAGGGCCACAGTCCAGCCTCCACCCAGCGCTGCCCTGTCTGGCCTCACCACCCCGTCCACCCTCCTGCCTACCCACCAGCCCCGTCCCCGTGCCGTCCCTACTTGGGGTGCTCTTTTCCACAGAATTCCTAAGCGAGCTGAGGGTCCCATCCCTGTGAAGCTTCTGCGCCACTCTCGCTCGCTGACCGCGCATCTGTGTCCTGTGTCCCAGTCTGTGTCTACGACAAAGTGGATACCAATAATGGATGTCCCATAAAAGCCCTCGATATGGCCCTACCACTGTTCTCAGTTCTTGACACGTTCACCTAATCCTCAGATAACCCTTTGAAGATGAGGAAACAGGCACAGAGAGGTCAGCTAGCGAGTAACAGCTGGACTCGCTCCAAGGCAGCCTGACTGACAGTAATGGGTCCTGGGCCTCCACTTGAACAGGTGCCCCCAAGGTCAGCTGAGTTACCCAAAAATACCTTGCACCTCTCTGCAGCGCCCCTGCCATTTAATAAGGCACTTGTCAAACATCTGTGCAGTGCAGACTGAACTGTGTGAGACTGCCCTCTGAGGGTATGTGGGGACCATGGTGCTGGCACACGGAGAGTCCCAGTTCAGCTCGTATTTCTTCAGTGAATGAATGGATACATCGTTTGGCCAGGCACTGTGCTAAGTGTCTTAAGAGCATCATCTCATTGAGTCATAGTGTAGCCCCGTGAGGCAGGCACTACTGTTGTGGCGCGAATGATTCTGAGACCCACGGAGCCAATTGAGATTAATTATGAGCCTTTATTAGCCGGCCGACTACTGACTACCACGCAGGGCTAGAGGAGATCAGCCCCGAGCTTCCCGAGCAGGCTGCTTATAAGGTTTTTTTACTACATCTTTGAATGAACAGATGACAAGAAGCAGAAGTTAGTCGTTAACTCTTTGTACACAGATAAATGCATTCAGGGGAACTCCCAGCAAACAGGGCCTAATAGACAGTTTTATCATCTTTTCCTTGGAATGTTGCGCTTCCCCCTGGGGCTGGCGCCCGGGGATATCACCTCCCTGTAACTGAGTTACTGCTCTCCCTACGGGATGGCGCCTGGAGATACCTCTTCCCTGAAACTGGAGAATTTCCACTTTTACACTACTAACATCTCCATTGCACAGGACGATGCTTCACTGCACAGGGTCTCTGCCAGGAAGCCGGAGCCAGAATCCAAACCCACCTGCCTGCGTCCCCTGCGCTCAGTACTCAGACATGGAGCTGTGTAGCCTTCCACAGATGGGGCAGCTGAGGGGGTCTGGGACAGACCCCTAGGCAGCA